CTGAGGAGTGGGGCCAAAACCATCAAAATTAATGCAATCTTTAAAAATCTTCTTCTTTACTCCTGGACATCAAGCAGTCAAACTGTTGGCATGATTGTAATAAGCATTGAGCCCTCTACCAAAATTTGAAATTCATGGCCCCAGGGTCAGGGGTTCTGGTGCTAGGGTGGGGCTATATAGATCATATAGTGAAAGTGCATTATTTCTTTGAAAATCTTCTTCGACCCTACTCCTGGGTATTTTTGAAACAAATTGAATACAAAGTTATGATAAGCAAGGGTGACTCTACCAAAATTGTGAAATTCATGACCCCAGGGTCAAGGGTTCTGATGCTAGGGTGGGGCTATATAGATCATATAGTGAAAGTGCATTATTTCTTTCAAAATCTTCTTCTCTACTCCTGGGTATTATTGAAACAAATTGAATACATAGTTATGATAAGCAAGAGTGACTCTACCAAAATTGTGAAATTCATGGCCCCAGGGTCAGGGGTTCTGGTGCTAGGGCAGGGCTATTTAGATCATAGAATGAAAGTGCATTATTTCTTTGAAAATTTTCTTCTCTACTCCTGGGTATTGAAACAAATTAAATACATAGTTATGATAAGCAAGGGTGACTCTACCAAAATTGTGAAATTCATGGCCCCAGGGTCAGGGGTTCTGGTGCTAGGGCAGGGCTTTATAGATCATATAATGAAAGTGCATTATTTCTTTGAAAATCTTCTTCTCTACTCCTGGGTATTATTTAAACAAATTAAATACATAGTTATGATAAGCAAGGGTGACTCTACCAAAATTGTGAAATTCATGACCCCAGGGTCAAGGGTTCTGATGCTAGGGTGGGGCTATATAGATCATATAGTGAAAGTGCATTATTTCTTTCAAAATCTTCTTCTCTACTCCTGGGTATTATTGAAACAAATTGAATACATAGTTATGATAAGCAAGAGTGACTCTACCAAAATTGTGAAATTCATGGCCCCAGGGTCAGGGGTTCTGGTGCTAGGGCAGGGCTATTTAGATCATAGAATGAAAGTGCATTATTTCTTTGAAAATTTTCTTCTCTACTCCTGGGTATTGAAACAAATTAAATACATAGTTATGATAAGCAAGGGTGACTCTACCAAAATTGTGAAATTCAGGGTCAGGGGTTCTGGTGCTAGGGCAGGGCTTTATAGATCATATAATGAAAGTGCATTATTTCTTTGAAAATCTTCTTCTCTACTCCTGGGTATTATTTAAACAAATTAAATACATAGTTATGATAAGCAAGGGTGACTCTACCAAAATTGTGAAATTCATGACCCCAGGGTCAGGGGTTCTGGTGCTAGGGTGGGGCTATATAGATCGTATGATGAAAGTGCATTAGTTCTTTGAAAATCTTCTTCTATTCTCCTGGGTATTATTTAAACAAATACATGGTTCTGATAAGCAAGGATGCCTCTTCCAAAATTGTGAATTTCATGACCCCTGGATCAGAGGTTCTGATGTTAGGGCGGAGCTCTATTTATTATATAGTGAAAATGCATTAATGCTTTAAAAATCTTCTCTGCACCTGGCATATCAGAGGCAAAAAGATTAAAAGTTTTAATAAGGAAGGGTATTTTTACCAGATTTTTGAACATCAAAACATCAGAACCATTTGGTCAAGTGTTCTGGTCCAGGCCAGAGCTCTATTAATTCTACTGAGAGGAGTAATCCCCTTTGCCATTTATCACTGTAAATAATGTACTTGAAAGGTTAATAGAATAAGAGAATTATGCAAGAATTTTTATTGTATAATACAAAAAGTACTTTAATAGTTTTAATAATCAGGTAGACTTGTAAGTAATAGATAAATAAAAACGAGACAAAAATAACTTGTCTTATTAAATGTTCATCAAAGACCAAGAGATGCCAATGTAAGAGATATTTCAACAAGGAAATAAAAGAGTACAGAAGCACTGATAGTTTGATTATATACTGTCTGGTGAGAGTGGGGAACAGATTAGAACCTAATTTATGAACTGTTAATGAATACTAGACTAATTATTTTGTTGATCCTGATCACCCTATTTTTCTTGCTTTTGGGCAACAAAGTTTCACCTTTCAGTTCATTTTATACTCTATGGATCCTCTAAATTGTTGTATTATACTCAGGTGACAATTAAGGCCCTTGGGCCTCTTGTTAAGTATACTGTCTTTGAACATTTAATGTACAAAGATAAGGTATTTTTGTCTCATTTTTTTTTTCAAGTCTACCCTGATCATTAAAACATATGAAAGTACTTTTTGTATTATTAAATGCATAAAAAATTCTTGTATATATGTAACTCTTTTATTCAATATACCTATCAGAAACATTATTTACAGTGATTAATTATCATAGGTGAATAGAAAAGAGGAATAACTTCTATCAGTTCAATATAGATTTCACTACATCAATAGAACCCTACCCAGCACCAGAACACTTGACCCAGTGGTCCAGAATTTCACAAATCTGGTAAAAATACCATTGCTAAATACAATTTTGTACTCTATTTCCCTCCTAGATGCCATGAACACAGAAGAGGATTTTTAAAACATTAATAAATTACAAAAGTAGACACAGGGGCCATGAATTTCACAATTTTGGAAAAAACATCCTTGGTCATCATAACTATACACTTACTTTGTTTGCTCAATACCCTGGAACAAAGAAGATTTTCAAAGAATTAATGCATTTTTTTCTATATAATCAATTAGAGCCCCACCCTAACCCAGGGGCCATGAATTTCCCAATTTTGGAATAGGCACTCATCATAACCATGCGCTTAGTTTGTGAGCTAATTATACAGGGGTAGAGGAAAAGATTTTCAAAGAATCAATGCGTTTTCACTATATGTTCAATAGAGCCCCATCCTAACTCCAGAACTCCTGACCTGGGGCCATGAATTTCACAATTTAGATAAAGGACTCATTACTTGATATAATCATGCCAAAAGTTTGACTCCTTGATGTCCAGGAGTAAAGAAGAATATGTCTGAAAATTGCATTAAGTTTGATGGTTTTTGCCCAACCCCTCAGGCCCCAGGGACCATGAAATTCATAATATTTGTTCCCCTTTGCCCATAGATGCTCTACACCAAAATTGGTTGAAATTGATTCAGCAGTTTATGAGAAAAAGCTGAAAATGTTCAAAAGTTTATGACTGCTGGACGACGAACGGCGACAGACAAATTTAAAACAGATAGCAATTGGTCACCTGAGAACGCATGCTAGATTAAAGATAAGTTTTTCTCTAATTATTTTGACAGACTTTTTTGGGGAGTTTATCTACCTTCTATTAGAAATGGTTGCATACAGGAAGTGAAAACAGTCCCCTTGCCCCCCCCCCCCCCCCACTTTCCCTAAAGCTTTTTAAAGTTCATCAGAGGTATACAATGTAGATGTGGAAAAAATAATTCTGTTTTAGTTCAGAGGTGAAGACTTTGTATTCTGTGCAATTTAATACATGTACATGCAAGTGCATGTATTCTATTATGAAGTATGAAAATTTGTTTGTTTACAATCTACCTCACAGTTAGGATAGTCAAAATTTTACACAAGAGAACTGTACAAGGATATATTAATTTACATCCACTGAATATTCTTTCTCCTTTATTTCTAAAGAAAACCATTGCCTTTTAACAGTTCATGAACAACACTAGGCATATCACCTGTACAGATTTCTTGATCAGTGGCTGTTCCATCAATGAAACGTACTATGAAGTACATATCAATAATACAATAATTAATCTTTTTAATCCTACTTTTAAGGATTATTTATACAGATATAAATTCAAACAATAAAATTCTGTTAGTACGGGAATTAATGTCACAGCTATTGCAGAAGAAATTTACATAAGTGGGTTATGTATTTTTTCTGCAACAGCTGCGACATTAATTCCTGTACTAACAACCAAAGAAAGCATTTTATTGTTTAAATAAAATTTAGCCTATTCGTTTTACCACAAATGTATTTGCTGTTGGTGCAAAAAGATTTTGGTGAAAGTAAATGTCCCTCTTAAGAATTAAGCACTATTTCTTCACCATAAGATAGAAAATGTTTGATCCACCATGTTTTTTGAGTAGATAGCCATTCATGCATTGAAGAATTGAGTTTTACTCATGTGTGAGGTTATAAAGGTCACCTGTATAACACAAGTACAGATCTGTAATTATACTGGAGGAATTTCATCATAATTAACTTGCTTAAAGTTGAACACGACTCGTAAATAGCCATACTCAATGTATAAGTTTCCCTATCCCTGATATCAGCGGGGGTATACACCTGATTGCTCTCTGGCTGCTTGCATGGAATGGACAAAACATAGCTTACGTTTCCTTTGCAACTATGAAACTGATGTCATATTTCTTTGGTAACCTTTTCTGATTGCCTACAGTCTCTCAAAAATTATAATTTATGATCTTTTCTTTAAAATACTGTATACAGGGCTATTTTTGCCCAGTCCTGTTTTTGCCCTTTCACAATTGCAAACAATTTTGCCCCTTAGATTCAAGCAGACACTGTTGTGTGTAAGAGATGATGCCCATTACTTTGAATTCACCCTGTTTAAAATTTGCCCACTTGCAATAAGAGCAAAAGGGGCTAAAATAAAACGGGGGTGAAAATTTCCCAGTATTTATAATATTAAATTGAATATAGGTATTACGATTACTTCTGACATGATTTCCATTTAAATGCTGTGAAAATGTTTCATTTTCTCCTTTAAAGTACAGGAAAAAGTGAAACCAAAAAGACTTTACCAATCATTTACTACACCTTGATCTTAATGCAAGTCTTAGCTTATTCCAGTGTGGAATTTTTTCTCAAGAACAGGTGGGCCACAGCTATTCAAATAAGTAGCAAGTGTCCTTGTGTAAAGTGTGGATTCAAGTTGTTAAAAACCATGCTTTATTACCATGGTGCATATACCAGTTCCATCACTGAAGAAAACTTCCTCCTTTCCTGTTGCATTTGAAATAAGACAAAACAATAAATACCTATAATATGCTTTAATTCCTGCCTCTCATTTTCCTAAACTTGATAAAACTTGCTTTCCCATAAAAAATGCATACTAGCATCTACACAACTGGAACTACACAGTAGTACACAGTCTTGTACTTGCAGATCAAATTGACAAAACTAGCCGACAGGGAAAATTTAAGACAATGATTGTTTTTTTTCTGGGAGCATTTTAAAATGAACATTTTGATTAGTTTCAGAACCTGATGGAAGATTAATTAAAAACTTTGAGGTAAGATGGTAGTAACAAAGAATCACGAGAAAAAAGAGAGAATTTACAGACCTACATATACATGTAAGACTGTGCATGACGATTAAAAGTCACATACAAAACTAAGACCTCAAAATCCCACTTAAGAAAACAAATAAACAAAACGGTTCCCTTGATTGCATTCACCAAAACACACAACATAAACAAATTTTACGAGAGTGTGTTACATGAACAATCCCGAGATTCTGAATTTCCTCAGCACATCTTTTTATAATAAAGTTATTGGCACTAGGGGCAGCAGAATTGTGCAGCATCAACATTTTGTAACATTTTCTTATGAAAATTTGGATGTATATCAGCACTATATAAAACTATGCATAAAGTTTACATAAAATAATATACAGTATATATGTAGCTATTCTACATATTGCATCCATTTCTGAAAATGTCTAACTCGATGTTCTAAGGGTTGGAATCTGATTGGGTTAAATCATGAACTATAATCCAGAATAATATCACAGAGAAGCACGTAAATAAAATCCAAATGTCCTGGAATTTATCGTGGAGTTTTCTTGCCCTTTGGTGCAGCTTTCGATTTCCCTAAGAACAGAAAATAATTCATGTAATTCTTTTCAAAAGTTGATGGAAAGAAACTGCATTTCTACTATATTAATTCTTTTTCCAATATTATCTACCTTGATTGTACTGACCTGCTGCTGGTTTATTGAGGGCCAGGAGTCTTCTGGGGTTCTGTTTACACCCTTCCCTGCTCATTAAGTGGGATTTCCATCCTTCCTCTCCACCCCCTATATTCTGGTGACACAGTGGACAGTGGTTAAAGCCTTGCTTGGAAGCTGGAAATTAAAGGTTCAAGTTGAAACTAGAGGTAATGCAAGCAGTGAGCTCACAAAATGATACCCCCTGCTCCCATATGATTATTATGGCAAAGACAATTTTTTTGCTATGAGGAAGCCCAGCTATCTGTCCAATGAAAATTTAAAGTAGGAGGTGCACAATAGCACTATGTAATAAAAATTCTGTGAAAGTATCATTATATTTTATTCAGTGGTATAGGAGGAGTTGTGGATATATCTTAAGAGTAAGGCAAAACTACTCATATTTCAGATATATGCTGAACTCATATTTACAGCTTTAAGCAGCTACATCATTAAAATGTTACTCAAGGATAACCTCAGGTTAGGGATGTACTTACGATTACAGCTTTTTGCAGCTACATGTTCATCAAAGTCTGACTTAGGAATAGCCTCTGAACATCGCGGACACTTGGAGTAGTTAGATTTAGCCTCGCACTCCGTCAGTAAATGTTCTGTGTAGCTGGCTATCTCCACAACCTGACACAAAAAGTCATTAAATGACATTGATTTGTTTGAACTTGGACCTCTAAAATGACTGCTTTTACCCAGGTACATTGTATATTATTACACCTCTACTGTTATTACTCTATATAAAATGAATACCATAAAACTGTCTATTTCCCTGGGAAGGCACTACTTCCCCCATCTGAGGACTACTCCCTGTAAAATCAGAGCTACTCCCTGGGACTACTCTTGGTCAGATTCAGTTTGAGATAACAAGGTTTGACTGTATCAGGTAAATCATTTTCTTGTGAATATTGCTAGAATTCTAATTTTCACTGTGGCTTTCTCAAGGCCACGTGAACTAATGAGACTCACAACTGTTTCCAGCAAGTACACTTCTTTAATAATGTCCATATATAGTTTACTGATGTTTACACTGAATACACTACAAATGGTACACTATTTGCTGATCTTTTTTTTTTTACATCACTTAATATAGGACAGTGCCTACTAACATGTTAGGTTTATATACCTCTTTTTATAATGGATGGTGCTTACTGACACCTATACAGGAATTTATCTTTTTCTTTTACTGAATATTGCTCAAACTAATTTTTCTCTCAAGTTTGTACACCTTTTTAACATTGTTTACTGACCTGTTTACAGTTTGTATCTCTTTAATACTGTACAATGTTTATGATCTGTTTACGGTTTTTACATCTCATTAACATATTGTACAATGTTTACTGACCTGTTTACAGTTAGTACATCTCTTTAACATAGGGCAATGTTTACTGACCTGTTTACAGTAAGTGCATCTCTTTAACATAGGGCAATGTTTAATGACCTGTTTACAGTTAGTACATCTCTTTAACACAGGGCAATTTTTACTGACCTGTTTACAGTTAGTACATATCTTTAACATAGGGCAATGTTTACTGATCTGTTTACAGTTAGTACATCTCTTTAACATAGGGCAATGTTTACTGACTTGTTAACAGTTTGTACATCTCTTTAACATATTGTACAATGTTTACTGACCTGTTTACAGTATGTGCATCTCTTTAACATAGGGCAATGTTTACTGACCTGTTTACAGTTAGTACATCTCTTTAACATAGGGCAATGTTTACTGACCTGTTTACAGTTAGTACATCTCTTTAACATAGGGCAATGTTTACTGACCTGTTTACAGTTAGTACATCTCTTTAACATAGGGCAATGTTTACTGACCTGTTAACAGTTTGTACATCTCTTTAACATAGGGCAATGTTTACTTACCTGTTTACAGTTAGTACATCTCTCTAACATAGGGCAATGTTTACTGACCTGTTTACAGTTAGTACATCTCTTTAACATAGGGCAATGTTTCCAATAATGCAGATCTAATCCTTCCTCTGTAAAGCTCTCATTTCTCTCTCCACAGAAAATACAGATGCTGGAAATATATTACATACTCAGTCAGTACAAATAAAGAACCCAAACACAATCAGCTGTGACTACATGTAATAAGATGAGATCGTACGTGTCCATATTGTACATGTAATAAGATGAGACCGTACTTGTCCATATTGTACATGTAATAAGATGAGACCGTACTTGTCCATATTGTACATGTAATAAGATGAGACCGTACTTGTCCATATTGTACATGTAATAAGATCATATTTGTCCATATTGTACATGTAATAAGATGAGATCGTACTTGTCCATATTGTATGTGTAATAAGATAAGATCGTACTTGTCCATATTGTACATGTAATAAGATAAGACCATACTTGTCCATATTGTACATATAATAAGATTGTACTTGTCCATATTGTACATGTAATAAGATCATATTTGTCCATATTGTACATATAATAAGATAAGATCGTACTTGTCCATATTGTACATGTAATAAGATCGTACTTGTTCATATTGTACATGTAATAAGATTGTATTTGACCATATTGTACATGTAATAAGATAAGATCGTACTTGTCCATATTGTACATGTAATAAGATAAGACCATACTTGTCCATATTGTACATATAATAAGATCGTACTTGTCCATACTGTACATGTAATAAGATTGTATTTGACCATATTGTACATGTAATAAGATAAGATCGTACTTGTCCATATTGCACATGTAATAAGATCATACTTGTCCATATTGTACATGTAATAAGATTGTATTTGTCCATATTGTACGTGTAATAAGATAAGATCGTACTTGTCCATATTGTACATGTAATAAGATAAGATCGTACTTATTGTATGTGTAATAAGACCTACTTGTCCATATTGTACATGGAAACATCGTCATCATCCTTCTGCTTCTTTTTATCATTCTTTTTCTTTGGATCAGGTTTCTGGCCCTGGAAAAAGAAAATGAAACAGAAATTAACAATTATCATGCAGTTTAATTACATTGCAAATCTGTGTATAACAGTTAACATACAGTGGTATTTTACAGGTTTCTGATATTCTTTCACAGATGTCAGAAAAATTGGAAAGGATCTTTACACTGAGTCAATAATATCAAACTGAATAATCAAAATCATGACTGTTAAAGAATACTTTAATCAAATTCTCGATCTCATCTTCCCTGATAATGGTATGAGATTAAATCTTTCAAAACATTTTGTTGATAATCTAAATGGACAGTCAAATTCATAGATTATTAGTTAAGTGTACATAAAATTATATTGAAAATAATGTCTGGAAAAAAAAAACGATCAAATTTGAAAAATTGCTGCAGGAATGAGGGAATGCTGAACAGACATTATATTCAAAGATAACAATAAGGTCATAGGTCAAAGGTGAAAAGCAATAAAGATTAATGTCAACAAAAAACAAAATTTATATGCAGAAAAGGAATCTGTAAGTATTAAAAATAAATAAACTAAAGTTAACATGCAGTAAATTTAGATATTTATTTTTCTAAAATCTTGCTGATTTAATCAAAACTTTCTTCCCTAAAAAGCATTTGTCTTGATCACCAAGGTGATAATTTTTAATGTAAACTCTTTCTATGCAGTGCTGTCATTTTATTTAAAGTCTAAAAGCAGAAATAGTTGGATTAGTGTCCTTCAGTAAATATTGATATCAAGCAGATATTCTTCCATTTTAGTCTGAAATATTACTTTCTCTTTCTTGTAACTACCAATTACTAATTTTTAAAATTCTCTGATTAGAATTATTCTAAAAACTGTGTATCTTTATTTTTCACTGGCAGTGATTTCTACTGAAGCTTAACAAAAATAAAATCATTTAAAAAAAAGGAACAGCTTCTAATGAAAAAAAAAAAATAAGGAATTAGGGGTGCAAATTTGTACCAACCATCTTCTTTGATGCAACACTAGGTCTCTGAATAATTGAACTGAGCAGTGAGTATACATGTTTCTTATTTTATTAAAATTCAATAAATATACACAGCAATTAAATAACAATATAAAATTCAATAAATATACACAGCAATTAAACAACAATATAAAATTCAATAAATATACACAGCAATTAAGCAACAATATAAAATTCAATTAATATACACTGGTAATTTTTGATTCAAAGCACATATTTAATTGTTTTTATATTACGATATACAGTACTACAAGTCTACATTTTCTTAACATTTAACAAGGACCTTAATATCTGAGCAGAAAATAGCAAAAAGCTTGCTGATCTTGCATGAAGCAAGGTTTAACAATGTATCTTTTTTTTAAAAATAAAGATATTTAGAGTGTTTAATTTCCAAAGACTGCAAGATTCAGAAAATGACAAAACACAATTCAATACTTACCCTAGGGGCTGGTTTCTTGGATTCTACCAAAGACTCATCAATTGGCTACAGAAAGTAAACAATCTATAAATGTCACTAGCTATTGTCCAGGGTATTTCCACATACTTAAAGCAATCATTTACAAAGACAAAACATTCAAAATGACAACTTTAAAATAGGTCAGAAGAGATACAATGCTCACGTTTTTTCTACTACATGTAAATAATACATGTAAAGTTTTGTTTTTATTTTAATAAATTTAATTTCTTCATTTGATTTGTTTTTCATTTGATATAAATGCAAAGGTTATATTGATCTCTTTTCAACTGAAGTAATTTCTGCTGGATAAGCTGGAATAATAAAAATCCCTTCAATCCAGGTTTGGCGTTTTATCTCTTTCTTTAATTAAATACATTTTTATTTCTAGAGAGTAGCACAAAATCTACAAAGAATAGAATTATGCAACATACAGTATTTCCCCAAAAGTACACGTAAATCTAGCTCAAAACATTTACCACACAGAATTGACATCTACATAAAAGTAAGTGTATATTACAAAAAGAAATATGAAAATTTTGAGGAGCTCTATACACAGTAACAAACACAACAGCATTCTATGGGGTACCTTGAGTTTGGATTTGTGTTTTTTAGGCCTAGGTGAGGGTTGGTAATCCTAAAGGTATCATACAAAAAGTGTAATCAAATAACATCAAAATTCCCTATAATTACTATGATCTGGTGAGAAAGATCACACAAAAATCACTGTGTACACATAGTAGTCCAGGAGGTGTTCACAAGCACCTTGTATACATATAATAAAACAGCAATTTTGGAAGGATAAAAAAAAAAACAGTTATCAAAATTAATACAATGCCATGCCTGGTGCACATGAAATGCTATATAAAAAAAGCCTTATAATTGTTCTGTTGCCTGATTATTAACATGTTGTCTTACCTGTTTATTTAAATGTTCTCTTATCTACCGGTATTTACTTACACATTCTCTTACCTATTTATTTACACGTTTTTCTTACTTGATTATTTATATGTTCTTATATGTTTCTCCTACCTGTTTATTTAAATGTTCTCTTATTTATTTACACATTCTCTTACCTATTTATTTACGTTTTCTTGTTGATTATTTACACATTCTTTCACCTGTTAATTACAATGTTTTTTTTTTACCTGTTTATTTAAATGTTGTCTTACCTGTTTACCAGAAGCCATATCTTTCAGTTGTTGCAGTTGCTGTTGTAACATGTCAATTTCCTGCTGTTTCTTTTTCTCCTCGTCTGCCCTCTTTTTCTAAAATTGTACGACTCTTTTAAAATTCATGCAACATATATTACAAAATATTAAACACTGTATGCATTTTGTATTGACAAAAATTTGAAATATTTTGTATTGACACAAATTTGAAATATTTTGCAACATCACATTTTCATATTCCATAACTAGACATTAAATTTCAAAGGGTGAAGATGACCTCAATATTGCACAGGACATCACGTTAAAGAAGACATAAGCATGACAAAAACGTGTCATGTTTATATTTCTCCAATATGGGAAAAACCAACTATGATGTCACACGAAAGCAAAATAAGCGAAATAAGATATACCTACATAAGATTTCCGTCATCAGCCATGCAAAAATAATTTTTGTGTTTCTGTTCCTCAAAATATTTCATCATATACTGATTATGACCTGTTTTTGAATAATAATACTGCCCCTGTATTCACTGAATATGTTCTTGCTGTACTAAAAGATCATGTATGACATCATTAACTTGTTAGTTTAAGGAAACAGAGGAGGGGATCAATCTTTTTCATAATTTGTTAATGTTTACAAGATGTTAAAACTTTCTTTTTTTATATAAGATGGTAAATGAAGGGGGAAAAAATGGTCAAAATTGTCAAAAATTTATGCAAGAACATGTTTTGCACTTATATAAATGGAGACTATGACGTAATTAAACAGAGTCATGTGACCATGCGTCCTTCATCCCTTAAAGGAAATAGTATTTTATCAGTAAATCTGAAACAACTATTTGGTATGGCACAGATACCCTAGTATCGGTGTCCAACAGTTATAGCTTTTACCAACCTTTATATCTCCTTTACTAGGTTTTCCATCCACTTTGTCGAAGTATTCAAACAACTGCCTGTAGAGTGTAATTTTACGATTTTTTTCGTTGTCGGGTGGGAGGTAGTCCTTGACAGGATCTTTTACTTCCCTATATAGATCTTTTATGATGCGCTCTGCTACATCCCTCACCTCCCCTGCATGATGACCAAGTGCTGTCACACAGAACTGCATCAGGTTTTCTAATGTCAAGCCACTGAAAATACCATTAACTGTGTATAGCGGGGACTAGTTTCAAAGTAATCAAAATAGCTAAAATTCACATTAAAATTAAAAAATTATATGATTTTGTCCTAAACAGATGACATAATATCCTTATCTTCTTTTCGTATTGCTCTGAATTGAACTACTGACGTGTTGGATTTGATTCCGAGCTTTTTGTACAAGGCCTCCACTATTTCACACTGTGATTGAGCTTGCCGAGGAGCCAGTGTTAACTTAAATGGCTTCACACACTCATGGGGGACTATATTGGTTGGCTGCAATTCAAAAGTGAAATAGATAAATGTACAGTATTTTTGCATTAATATTTTGAAAATGAAATCTTAGAAAAAGTACAAACAGCTTACCTTAACATCAGTAAAGCTAGCTTCATCCAACACAAAGTTCTTTGCATCTTCACGACATCTTGCCGCCTAAAGTGTTAAAATATCTTTCATTTTTTTGGGTCCAAATATGAATTTTCCACTTGTACACATGTACATATACAAGTTTATTTTTTAAAGGAACAAAAAAGAATATCTCTCCATAAATTATGTTATACATGAATCTTCTTCACACTGCTATACATAAATGTTTATGCATAAAGATGTATGTATAGCCAGCCAAACCTTGTTATTTCAAACATAATGAAGCCAAGAAAAACTTTGAGATATCAGAGGCTTCAAGATATTGAGGTTAAAATACATAAGGAAAAAGTGTTTGGGATGTCTAAATCACTTCAGCATATCCATAGTATTTGAGATACTGATGTTAGTGATGTTCCAAGATGCTGAAGTTCAACTGTATATTGTCTGATGCATTGTATCCTGATTCAGGTGTTAGTAAAACCTCTCACAGTATCCTTGTGTAGAGTGTTTGAGTTTTAATTGCTTATATTATCTTATTTGGTATTATTTCAATGATTTATAGTTACTGTATTCACTTTCTTGTGTACTACTTCTGGGATAGTTAGGGACTTGTATCTCTGTTCTTGTGTAGAAGTTTGGAGATTGTTACCAGTGACATCCCCCTTCTGTTTAGAGAACTTGGGACTCTTTTCAATGACACATTATCTCCCCCTTCAGGTGGAAGCTTTGAGACTTTATAAAATGGCTTACATTATCTCATTCCTTGTGCAGAGTGCTTGAGATTATCAGAATGACTGCCTTACAGTTTTCTCCTCTGTGTAGAATTGTTTTGATGACTAAAGTTAACCAGGTACACATATCTTCTCCCTGTGCAATGTTTGGAATAGTGAAAGGTGCCCCCTCCCTGTGTAGAAGGTCTGGAGTTGTTTCAATGATACTCTATCCTCAATGTACAGAATTGGACTTCAACTATATAGATGGTTTGGTATTGTTTTGATATATAAAAAAGTTTTGGGAGTGTTAATTTTGAAGTAAAAAGTTCAGGACTTTTCTGTTTTTGATGTAGTAGGTTGGGGATTGTTTTGATGTAAATGGTTTTGGATAGTTTTTATGCAGAAGATGTGGGATTGTTTTGATTGGAAAGATTTGGGATTGTTTTAATGACTTACAGCATCTCCTGCCTTATGTAAAAGATTTAGGAAATGGGATTGTCTTTATGTAGGTTTGGGATTGTTTTAATGACTTAAAGTATCTCCTGCCTTATGTAGAAAATTTGGGAAATGGGATCGTTTTTATGTAGGTTTGGGATTATTTAGATGACTTACAGTATCTCCTGCCTTATGTAAAAGATTTAGGAAATGGGATTGTCTTTATGTAGAGGGTTTGGGATTGTTTAGATGACTTACAGTATCTCCTGCCTTATGTAGAAGATTTGGGATTGTTTTCTCCACTGCATAAATAGTGTCCTGTTTTTGTAATCTGTAAAATAAACATTTTCTTTAGTTAACTTAAACTTCCACCTAAAAATGGAAAAAGATCATCCCAAAAAAGATAATGATACTGTAAACTGATTTATCAAACACACTGTAATTGTGAAAATCTCACTGGGACTATATACAGTAAATTTAAGGTGGACAGTGACTTGTTAGTAACCTATTCCCTTTTGACTAGCCAACTGTTTCTCCTCATAAACTTCTGGCCCAAGTAACATAAAATAATCAGGATTGTTTATGTAGTATAGTCTTGAAGCTTACTTTTACACTGACAGACCCTTGTAATGTAGACAAACATGTCATCAGACAAAACAAATTCACCTGTAAATTGTTTTCTCTTCAATTGTTAGAAACAGAATCCAAACGTTGATCTCAATGATATTAAGAAGAATAAGTTGGCATCTATGTTCTTGCATATTTCTATCAATTATGATTGATAATGGTGACACTGTAACATAACCTTCCATTAACTGTGCAGGTACTAGATTTGTTATCCAGTAGTACATGCATCTGTAGCTACAATCTCCTAACTTTTCCGACCCATCAGTGTGTTAGCTGAGTGTTGTTTACAGACTTACTTGTGTTGGGGAATGAATTCAGTCAGGATCATTTTCAGCAGATGTAAACCAGCCTTGAACACCTGAAAACAAACAAAATATCATTATAACATTTTAAAAAACAGAATTTTTAACATTTAACACATATGATCAGAAGTCTATTGAGAGACTGTCGCTCTAGTGTTTGGTTTAAATTAATAATAGTTGATGTCAACTTATGTACAAAGTTTTATTAAAATCAGACCAAAGCTGTAGAAAGAGTAGCATTTTGTAAGAATTTCAGATACAATTCTAATGAGATAAAGAGAAATTTGTATTTCTGTACATTAAATTTTATTGAAATTGGGCTAAGACTGTTGGAGGATAAGGGCTTTGAAAAAAAATGTTCACAGGCAAACAATCGGCATCTTAACTCTGGCCAGTAGAGCTAAAAGACTTGCAAACATGCCAACACGACTTACAGCATAGACCTTGTCGTCAATGGCTCTCTTGACTAGGAAGATGGCTGCCCTGAGTATATTCCTACACTCCTCTTTTCCAGACACGCTGGTCTCCTGGATCTGTTTGTACACAGCTAATAGGGCATCCTCCCTGTAGGACCATGTCTTACTGTAAGCTTTAGAGACCTATAGCAGCAAAGAAAGATAACTATCATATCAATATCGGTAGTGATTATGTTAATAAGGAAGTGATAATTGAAAGTTTTCATTTGCTGCTAAAGTGACAGCTGAAATATTTGTACCAGTATTCTGTAGTTAAAATTTGTAGATCACACCTCATTTCTAGTCAGTTTTTTAAAAAACATTTTGGTTTAACTTTGAATGAATCATGTCAAGAATTGTATAAGTAAATGAATACCAAAACAAAAATTCAAGTAAGCATAGGAACAAACCAAAGGTTCTCCAAACACGTCAATGGCGTAGGAGGCCTCTCTCAATTCCTTTTCTGACATTGGCTCAGGTTCTCCCGTGATTCCTACAACAAACTCATCAGGTTACTAAAATATCCTCTGTGTTTGATTTTTACATCAGGTAAAATGACAAATTAAGCATCTATGTAACAGCAAACAGAAAACCAAAATTTTAAAAAAGTGATCACATCTACAAATCACAAGGTTGCTTCCGTTTTACAGGACTTTAGATTAATGTGTCTGTCATTGTGCATATACCTGGTATTTAGTATGGAATATGATATATATATATACATGTATATTATAAAAAGTTTCTGAATAAATGAACTTGATCATAATACACATTTTCATATACATGATAAGTTATTTCGGGTCAAGATAAATGCATTACTAGTCGCCTGAGATGATGTTTTTATCTAAGCCACACACCTGCACTACTCTCTGGAGGGGGATCTTCTTCCTCTGGGACAGATGGGGGTCTGGAAAATGGATATAGATGTATGTTACATAATCTATAATATATCCTGTAAAATTAAGACATATTATTTAATAAATATTCAAGAACTGTATGTGGTAAAATAGATGTGCCCGATTTTTTATGACCATACATGTACAATACACTGTAGATCAATTAAGAAATATGAAAATGACTGAGATTTTAGCTATATACATGAACTTTAATGATTGAAATGAAGGATATTGGATTCTAAGATTTACAATCAAAATAATTCAGAGAAAGAAGTAATATGACAGAGAGAAATGAAGTTCACATAGCTCTGGATACAAACCACTACATATCTGATCAATTTTCTTTTTTTACAGCTTTCAACAGGTTGATGCATGATTTTACAACACACATTTTTGGTCTGCTTTTCAGAATTCAGTATTATTTTTATTATTTTTATTTTCTGTTCTTTATTATTACTTTAACAGCTATTAAAGAGTATTTCCCATTTTACATTGATAAGAAATTTAGTACATACTTAAATCACTTTACAACATGTACAATCCACAGTAAAGCAGGTTATTTTAATAGTTTACAGTTTCATTCAAAATCCAATTGCAGATACAAAATCACTTTCAGGAAGCAAACCAGGAACTGAATTCTAATCTGACCTTGGGCTTGTAAAGCTTTTTTGAGCTGATATGAAATCATAGAAAAGAATTTATCAAGAATATAGAAATTCATGCAAACATTTATGACTTGTAATGCATAATATATTATTAAAGCCAGCTTTGCCATCTAAAAGCAATTTTGAAATGACAAAAACACTCAAGCTAAAAGCTGCTGTATTCTTAATCTAAACAACAGTGAGTACGTACATAAACTCTTTTGCCAGATCAGTTGGTTTGACATAACGCTTTGTAAAGCTTGTAAAATTGCAAGGATATATTATACTATACATGCTGTACAACATGTGCCTGTGTTATAGATGTGTGCAATAATATAATACAACCAAGTCTTCAAACAATCACAGCTCTCTCATTACTCACAAACAACATCAATTTGACCTTGTCCACATTCGTTACCATAAGATGAAATCCAAATTTAAGGACTGATTTTAAATACCGGGATATGAGAAAATTGTTCACAAAATCAAGTCCCTGCAATTTAAGGGTCAGTGATAGAAATAATGGAATCATTTCATTGATGAAGACTAGGTATTTACAAATGCTCATGCAACATGCCTCTACATATGCCTGTGAGTTAAAATGTTACATACTTTTTGAACAAATGACAAAAAGTCATTTATGCATTGGATTTTAACCTATATCTTTATCACCTAACAGAGCATTAATTTTGTCTCGTTTTAATGACAGATTTATATTTCGACTCAGAAAATAAAATTGCTCGCTGTTTTTTTTTTTAATTGTTCAAATACATGTAAAAACTCTCCTTCTTCTTCTTCCCGTTTAGTGCAAACCACTTTAGTATCGTCGCACTCTTAACCAACATTCCATTTGTGAGTTCACGTTATCATAATTTGACATCAACAAGTCATTTCATGAAATTATGTACTCGGCGCTTAAAATTAGGAATCTACAGTTTGTGTTCTTCTCTCAACTAATTCCATACTCAAGTGCATGTTCTGAGTACATTCAAATTTTTTAACAGAGACAGGCTACTGAAAAATAAGTTGATGTTATAGGGTTTTCAACTACTGCATTTTAAGTAAGCATTTCAAAAATTTCATGGTTGGTGTAATGACTCTGTTTGCAAATACAACCTATCTTTTGATCTTATTTTCCCCACCAATTCAATGTGGGTGTGACCAGTAAACAAGGGATGCTTACTCCTTCTAGGCACCTGATCCTACCTCTGGTGCTTACAGACGTCTGTTTTTTTGCTCTGTTCATGATTCATTTCTTTACTTCATTTATGAGATTGATCACTGTTATTTTCATCTTTTATATTAGAATAGATCTGCTTCAAAAACCTTAACATGGTCACTCATTCAGAAAATATAGGTCAGATCCAGCATCAGAAGCAAGTTTGTTAGTAGTGTGCATCCCTAGATACATCATCATACAAGTTTGGTCCAGGCAGAGCTTATAGTTACTTGGAAAAGGACTTGTGTCAAAAACTATAAGCCAAATGTCAATGCTGCCACAAGGGTATAGTAAGCTCATCTCAGCTTGCTAAAGGTAACCTATTATATCTAGATACTCATAGATTTAGTGATATTCAGAATTGCAAAATGTATGAAAACTTTCTAAAATTAAATTAGCGAAAATCAAAATTCATAAAATTTACTAGTACACTGTATGCTGTGCACATGGGAATTTACATTAAGTATACAAGAAAGAATACTTCATGTAAATGTTCCCCGTCTACCAATGCCTTAAATTCATCTATTCAGCATTCAAAGGACCTTATAGTTTAATCATTTGAAAATAAACTCAAACATACATGCTGTTGACCTCACACTGTGAAACATATCCATTTTAACTAGAGATAGTGTATACAAACTTGCAGGGTGTTACATTTGTAATATAAGTGTTAAGTGCACCTACTGCTGTTGTTGAGTTAATAGCTTTCTACTGTTTAAATACATGTATTCCAGGATTTTTGTGAATGTTGCAAACTCTATGCATGATCATAGTGTGAACTGGTGAGTAAATGATTAAAACAATATTTTACAGGGCAGCCAGTGAATGATAATGTTTCTTTGTTCTAGCAGCTCAACACCATTACCTGTGAACATACAAACACATGACCATGCACACACAATGTAACTGTGTTTCTGATTGGTTCAACAATTACAGCAAATTTCTCACAAAAATAGCCTGTGATGCATTCATACAAATAGAATTTAAAGGAAATAAGAGGATGTCATTGAGTCATTAAAATCTTCTTATATGAAAGTAATTTTCCAAATACTTTGTTAGCTGTGCTACCAATTCAATTCATAAACTTTAGACGAAGATGAAGCTGATCTTGACATTAGATTTCTGTTACATTGTTGAGTCTACCAGAACCACAAACTTAGACCAATAAATTAGCTAGAGTCACATGAAGTTAGGAGCCACACACCAGGACAAAATACTCACTTGACTGGCAATAACCGCTCATCGTAAGGGGTTCTAGGAGGGGGAGGGGAATCACTGGACGGCTTTGTGTCTTTACTGATTTACAAAGAAAATTGGTCAGTCTCCTACCCATACACATAACAAATGGAAAGTTCTGATTAACAACTCTCCATCATTTTGTAAATTATTTTGTCAAACTAATTGACTACACATAGAGTACCGGCAAATAAAAACCAAGAAAAGGGATAACGTTCACAATTGCAAATAGCAGATATCCAGAAAACATAGTCAAGACAGAACTATTTACAAGAACTTTTTTGACACACAGGGATTAAAAGATTTCTCTGTTCTTCATTATCAATTCAAAGGACAATTTTACAAAATTTTGCTTACCCCCCCCCCCCCCAAAAAAAAAACAAGAAAGGAAAATAAATTCACAAATACTCCCTTTGAATACTATTTAAATGTGTTTCTTGCATGCAGTAATGAGAAAATGGATAAAATGGATTCTAATTACTGTAAACTTGTAAATTTCTAAAAGCAATGAATATTGTAACAAAACATAAAATAGTAAAGCTATTTTACACTATCTTGTACAAGAACAGCGGTTTTGTGGTAATACTTTCAGAAGCTCTAAAAAATGACACAGTGAATCAAAATTACTACATGAACAGATTTATATCACTATATAAATTAAATATCGATAAATTTATATGTAATGACATCTTGTAAAACAGACTATTAAGCATAAATACATGTACAATGCAATTTTGTTTTATTTAAAATATTCTGGTGCAAGTTCAGCAAAAATGAATGTGTATGTTAACATATGGTAACTTACTTTTTCATGGCTGGGAGGGGTCTCTCATCATATGGTGTCCTGGGTGGGGGACTGTGGGGTGGGGTCCTATAGGATAACTCCTGTAATCGTGGCGGAGTCGGCTGACGAATAGGTTCTGAAAATCACAAGGTCAAAATTGGCAAATAAAATCTTGAGGAGTCTATGTCTTTGACAATATGTATGGAATATATTCAGAACAAATGAATAATTATGTACAATCAAATTTATCTTAGAAATATACAAAATGGTATGTATATGATTATATTGTTCTTACCCAAGTCAATAGTTTGTGGATGCCTTGACTGAAAATTAATAAATAAATCATTCACTTCAAAATTTTGAAATCCTTATATGAGGAAAAACGCAACATACATGTATGTTACAATACATTGAATTAAATTCGTAATAATTACCCTTTCTAATGACAGAAATGATCAACAAAGTTCCAAGGTGATAATTTTGAAGATTTACCCCTGAAGTTTCCAGTAAGTCTGGTAGATTGAGATCTTTGTAGACCTGTAATCTGTACTCATCCATCTGGACTTTCTTTAGTTTGGCCTTGTCATAATCCTCATTCTCTACAGCCTGTCTCTTCTCCACTTCATATTTCCCCAGCTTCTCCCCCACCTTCTGTAGCTCTGATATCGCAGCTTTCAATCTCTTAGCATACTCAAATCGCTCCTCTGTTATTTACAAAGAAAACCTCGTCATGTTAAATCAAACTATTTTCAGTGTGCATTATTTTTAAATTCTTATGATTCTACTCCCTGTTAATTCTTAAATGTTTCTTCCACAAACACCAACATTTACAAGTATGTATAGTAAATTTTCTGAGAGTAAGTATATGTAGATCTTACGTAAAACGGCTTCCTGCTTTTTCTTTTCTAATTTTCGGATAATGCCTGCTATCTCCGGATCTTGATACATATCAAAAGCCAAATCATCCAGGGGTGAAATAAAGTCAGGTCTATTTAAGGAATGAATACAAATTTCTTTAATACATCTATAAGTCTCTCTCCCATTCTTTTTTTTTTTTAAATCTATCAGCATAATGATGAATTATGTTGAAATTGGATATTCAAACTGTTTGAAACTCGGCACAATATTCATAAAGCAACTCACTTGTTGTAGAGTCCTTCTAATGAAGGGTCACCCTCAATTGCCTTCCTCTTTTCATGATCCAAAAACAAATCCTGTTGGGAGATTGAAATAAAATCAGAGTGATAAACTGATACCACGAGTCACTGTTTTTTAAAAATCATCTTCATTTAGAAGAATAAACATGGGAACTTACTGGGTCTGTAATATCTGTAGGTCTCTGTTTGATTTCATCTCCAATCACATTGATAGCAATGATACCAACCTGTCAACATAAAAATCAGCAGTAAAGAAAACAAGATATTTTGGACTAAATTTTCTTGCATTACAGATTTTAACTTCAATTTTCCGTCAGTATTTTACAATAAACCTTTGTTCAAAAAACAAGCATGTTGAAAATTTGATTCCTGATCAAAAGTAAACTCGATACGTTCTAAAAATTAAATTAAAAGTTTCATAAAAATACCTATAGTTTTCACATAATTAATTACAAATTTGAGAGTTTGGTACCTGGTTATAGAGATTATACTTGTTGATGTGATTTTTGTGGATGTTCAGTTTTAGGAACAGTCCGATGGCATCCACATGTACCGACTTCAGCTCTCGCGCCTTGTATCCAGTCTTCTCATTGTCTGATAAAGACACGTACCTAGCCAACATGAAAATAAAGGCTTTTAAGTTTTACTTCATGCACATACTATTATTCATATAGGTTCAATCAAGGGTGTATAGGGATTTACCCCTGGTTGTATTCCATACACCCTGGGGCAGAAGGCCAGGGTAAATCCCCATACACCCTTCATTGGACCAGAACAATGAATTTATTTCCTAAGTAATCAAATTAATTTCTTTATAAACCCTAGTTTAATCAATGGTGTTTCAACTGTTGATAAGATTTACTACTTGCTAAAATGCATGGTGACATCATGTTATTTGCTTTTTGTAATAGAAAAACTATGCACTGTGATTTCACAATATTTATCCCCGGCTCAAGCTGGGTGTACGTTGAGAAATTTACACCCAGCTTGATAACCAATGAAAGTTCATGTTACAATCTACATAGGAAATAAATGTATTTGTATTCATATGATTTGTTCATGTTCATAGACAAGGATGGAGAACCCTCGTTACTGCCCTATATGCCAAAGGCGTCACGGGCAGTAAGTAAGTAAGTGTGCAGAAAAGTGTCTTGAAGAGCTTAAAGTCTCATTACATACCCAAGTCGTGTGTAGCGTGCGTTTTCCAAATCTTGTGTCTGCTCATCAGGTACATCCCCAACAAAGAACTCGATTTTTGTTGCTAAAAAATTCAGACAACATATACATGTTATACTTTCTTTGCATGTCTAGTCCACTGTAAAATTTGTATGTCTAACATCAGTTGTATGATACTTACCTATCAGGTACTGGTGGGAGAGGATCTGAATTTTCCGCAGCCTAGACCTGTGTTCTAGCTGTAAAACTATGTCCTGTGGGTACAGGCAGTATCTACAAAAAAAAAATTAATAGCACATGCCAGGTCAGTTTAAAAAAGAAGAAAATTCAGGCCAAAAAAAATTATCAAAAGTTTCTCAGGCACTGCTGCATCAGGTCAAAAACTAACCACATTTATCAGTTTTATTGACATATTGAAAAGGGAAATAACTCAATTTTCTATTTTACCAAGTTGAAAATGAAAATTGAGTTATTCCCCTTTACATAAATTTATAGATGTTTTTATTAGATAAAAAATATATTTCTTGTTAATATGGTATTTTTATGAATTAACTTTTTAACAAATGTTTGGAATAACATTATTTAAGTTGAGTACATATTATATAATTAATGTAAGAGAAAAAAAGTAAGAATCAATTGATATTATCATTTTGTTAAACCGACATTAAAAGAAAATACTTGCCGCATTGAATTTTGAAATTTTTGGCATGAGAAACTACAGATTAATTTTTTTGCCTGTTACAAATTTAAAGTAGTCAGACTAAAAAAAAGAGACAAGAGGCCCAAAGGCCTTAATGGTCACCTAAAAATAATACAACCCAATAAACAATCTACAGAATGGCAATAATTAAACAAAATTAATTGATAGATGAAGATATGCTGCCCAAAAACAAGAGAAATAGGACAGTCAGGGATCAACAAAATAGTAAACCTGGTAATTGGTAACAACTCAGAAAGAAGACTTGTTTATGTGTACTTTCCTATATGTGCCAGTGCAGTCTACATTCTCATATGTTCATATCACTAAATTTAACAACACAATAGTGCTTGAGCATATATAACACTTTATACCAAGTAAACTCAGCACAATCCCTTTAACATTGGCTTATCTTGGTCTTTGAGTAACACTTAACGTACAGATGTAACATATTTTATCTCATTTTTATTTATCTACTATTTACAAGTCTACATGACCATTAAAAACTAAAAGAGTACTTTCTATATTACATGTGTATATTAAAATTCTCATATAATTCTTTCACTCATTTGACCTTCAATTACATTATTTGCAGTGATTAATTATCATTGTTGAATAACAAAGTGGAATAATAACTTCTCTCAAAGTAAAGAACATGATCAATAGAGCCCTGTCCAATGACAAAAAATTTCACAAATCTGGTTAAAATATCCTTGCTCAATACAACTTTGAACTCTGTCTCCTAGATGCCTAGGAGCAGAGATGATTTTCGAAAAATTGATGCATATTCACTATATAATCAAAAGAGCCCCATCCCAACACCAGAACCCTGACCCAGTGCCATGAATTTTACAATTTTCGAAGACATCCTTGCTCATCATAACCATGCACTATCTAAGCTGCTTAATACCCAGGAACAGAGAAGGTTTTCAAAGAATTAATGCATTTTTCATTATATGATCAATAGAGCCCCAACCTAACACAAGAACCCCTGACCCAGGGGCAATGAATTTCAAAATTTTGGAATAGACACCCTTGCTCACCATAACCATGCACTTAGTTTATCTGCTTAATTCCCAGGAGCAAGAAAGAAGATTTTCAAAGAATTTATGCATTTTCATGTATGATCAATAGAGCCCTACCCTAACAAAAGAAACCCTGAACCTGTGGCCATTAGTTTCACAATTTTGGTAATGGACTCATTGCAGGGTTGTCCCTAAGAATTAAAATAGCAGGGGACATTTAAAAAGTAGAAGGGGGTCTGGGGTTCCTCCAATAACAGGATTATGAGGGAGAGAATACCAAAGTAACCGGGGAATTGCATCATTATAAGCGGGGAATCCCCCCCCCCCTTTCCCGGGTCTTATGGAAAACCCTGCATTGCTTGTTATAATCATTCCAACAGTTTGACGGCTTGATCTCAAGGAAAAAATGAAATAGATTTTTGAAGATTGCATTGATTTTGATGTTTTTGGCCTCACATCTCAGACCCAAGAGGGGACAGAGACTATGAAATTCACAATATTTGTACAATACAGGTATACCATTATTTGTTGAAATAGGTTTTGTGAATAAAAAAGAAGATGAAAATGCTTAATGCACAAGTGTGATAGAGGATGCACAGCTTATGATTACAGACAAAAACAGATAGCAATAGGTCACCTGAGTAACTCAGATGATCTAAAAAGCCAGAGCTAACATTCATAAAGCACTGGATCAGGCAGCCTTTACAGAAAAGAGTGAATTCAGTATCATTCAAATATGGTCTTACAGTGAAATATGCCTTGAGAGATCTATTCTACTGAAATGAGTTCCTACAACTAACTTGATTGACTTCCACCAATACATCAGAAGACTGACATAATTCAAACAAATGAAACTTTGAGACAAATAAGACTCTCCTACATATAGTTTACAATGGGACAAAATGTACCCAGATATAGCTGGATTTTTATGCCTTTGTAATAAGAGACTTGTTTGTTGTTTGAAAATATGCCACCTTCCTTATATGTGATGGATGCCAATGAGGGTCAGTTCCTTAATTAATTTAAAAATAAATTCTCAAGACATTAACTCACTTGATTGAGTTCCAGCCATATATGAGAAAACTTTTGTATAAATAAGAAAAGCAAATTTTTAGTCACTGAAAATTGTCAAAATTGTATACTGTAGTCAGAATTGAATTTTGTGTTAGCATTAGTACAAAGGTACCTTGAGGACTGCCATCCCTTCGTTAAGGGGCTGTGATAATTAAGCTCTGCTGCCCTGTAACTCTCATCTTGACCAGACACATGAATCACTCGGAATGGTAACTTTCGCGGCATGTTGCTTTACATCTTAATGGACACACTGATCTATAAATGTAAAAATAACAATATACAGGTAAATTATATCTATAAATCACCCAGGATTGTGTTGTCATATTGACGTGAATGGGTATAAGATGCTCATCTTATCACAATGTTAAACTTTATTGATCTTGTTAGCTTTCTCATTTCCTGAGTTTAAAGTTCTCTAATGGGTCAGTAATAAAAGTTTTACTTGCACAATATTTACATGCGCTGTAATGACTTGTATTTACTACTTAACCTGCACTTATTAAACAATTGATCTGTCAATAACTTGATCATCAGAAACAAGTGAAGGGCTTCAATTTCACACTAGCAGAGGCACATGTATTGATTATGCTATGTCATCTGTTGTCAAACGTGAATTGTCAGATGAGAGAAACTCATTAAATATTTATTTTGCAATTATTATCAACCATTATGATGTCGGGCTGGCCCAACATGACTTGATTAGAACAGAGCTTGAAGTATTAGAATTGAAAGGGTATGTCTTTTTACCACAAGGAACCACAAGGTACCACAAGGAACCACAAGGATACCACAAGGAATCACAAGGAACCACAAGGAACCCCAGGGATACCACAAGGTACCCCAGGGACACCATATACAACCTTAATTATTCTAAATATGGTTTATATGCACTTGTAAATTGGAAAAAAAAAGTTTTTGAAAGACAAATTAACACTTTTAAATTAATTGTCTTAAATATAGAGGAGTTACCCAAGTTAAAAATTTATAGGTAATATTAATTAATTAAACAATTAAGCTCAATTATGCATGTTTAGTTTTGAAGAACTTTAATATTTTATACGGTGTAAATAAATAATCATGTTTTAACTATGATTTGTGTATTTCAATACGCAAAACCAAAGGGCACTCACATAAAACCAAATAATACTCTTAAGGTACCACAAGAAAATCCCAGTGTACCCTAGGATACCCAATTCAACATTAATAAATGTACATGTAAATATGGTTTATATTTGCACTTGTAAATGACACAGTAACTGTTTATTGTATATACTTCAATACACAAATCAAAAGGATACTCGCTTAAGAAGCAAAGGATAGCCTTAAGTTACCACAAGGACATCCCAGGGTAACCCGAAGAATATCCCAAAATACCCCAAGGACACCCAGTTGGACCTTTATAAATCTAAAAACGGTTTTATGCTTTTGTAAATAACATAGTAACTGTTTATTGCATATTTTAATACACAAAAAAGGATACCAAGGAAACCCTAGGTATCTGAAGAATACCCTTAAGTACCCCAATAATGAGCCATATAACTGACATCCAATTCAGCTTTAATAAATGTAAATATGGTTTATGTGCATTTTTTAATTACATCATTTAAATACATTAATACTTAAAGCTATATATGGCATGTCTGAGGTAAAAAATAAAAATATGAGATAGAGTGTAGTTGAACATGATATTTGTTATTTACGTTCAAATTAAAATTTTCACTGATTCTGCATGAACTTGAATAACCCCACGTTTCTATAGTTAAAATGACTTTCAACTGTGTCTGATATTTAAATGCGGAGTCAGTAAATAAATCGATTATTGTTTTACCCTTAAATTTCTAATATGAAATATATGGAGATAACGAACAGTATTCAAGCTCAAAAGTCCATTATACAATACAAAATAGGAGCAGAGCAAACACGGACCTCCAAACATCAGAGGTGGGATCAGGTGCCATGGAGGAGTGAGCATCCCCTGCCGACCGGTCACACCCGCCGTGTGCTCCTTGTCATGATCGGGAAATAACGGAAAAATCCGTCGACAATTCAGTGTGTAAATAATGGCCTAACAATAAGTATGAAAAACGTCAGTCAGCATTTGACTCAATGATAAATTGTATTTGCTGACAAGGTCATTGTATCAATAATTTACCTCGTTTTAGAAATTGTACATTCGTAGATCATGCTCTTGCGTATCGAATCAACTGAGAGATATATACCCCGTATGCAGGTGATGAAGGTATATTGCTGCATAAGTAAGGGAAGTTGACGATTGAAAAGTTAAAGTCATCACGTTTATCATAAAGCTTGGTTGTTAGATTACCATTAACGTCTTTTTCAAGTAAAATATCCAAATATGAAACAGATGTGTCAGACTCTGTGGTATCTTTTATCTCAAGTTCACCAGGATATATCGTATCGACATAAGAATGAAAATAGCCATTGTTAATTGACAATACGTCGTCGATATATCTAAATGTCGAGTTGAACGCCACAGCAAGTGTTTTCTTCTTTTCACGTACAAGATTTTGGACAAATTCTGCTTCATATGAATACAAAAAAAGGTCTGCTAATAACGGGGTGCAATTGGTACCCATAGGAATTCCAATAGATTGTTGGAAGACCTGGTCTCCAAAAACCACATAGATATTGTCAATCAGAAACTCAAGCATCTTTTTAATGTCAACTTCAGAGTACTTGTGTGTACAATCAGAATGTTTTTTAACAAAATAATTTTGCAAATGACCAATGACAAGGTAAGTATATTTACGAGTTCCATTTTTATTGAAAAAGCAGCTGTCAATGATATCAAAAAGCCTGGACTTTAATTTATTGTGAGGAATGGTTGTGTATAAAGTTGAAAAGTCGTAAGTTTTATGAAACGCGATTGATTTAAATTGTGTAATTTACAGGAAAGTCCTATTCTTATATAAAGTAATTAAAACAAATAGAAAGATCTTTTTAATTTTAGTTAGTCTGAATTATCAAAAATACGCCATATATGACTTTTGGACTATTGGATTTCCAAGAGTAAAGAAGAAGATTTTAACAATTGCATATACAATGTATTTTGATGGTTTTAGTCCCATCCTTCAAGCCCAGAAGGGGAGAGGGGTCAAGGACCATGAAATTCAAAATTCATGTTTCCCTTTACCTATAAAAACTGGTTAACTTTACCCATAAAACTGGTTAAAATTGGTTCAGTGGTTCAAAAGAAGCTGAAAATTTCAACATTTTATGACCAATGAACAACAAACATAAACAAATCACAATTGGTAGGTCAACTGAATGACTCAGGTGACCTAAAAAAAATTATATTTACAATAAACAGTTTACTTTGTAATTAACAAATGAACATAAATCATATGTAGATTTATTAAGGTTGAATGGAATGTCATTTATTAATCTAAGTGGTTCTTTGGGTTTGTTTGTTGGGCTTTCATCATGATCCTAAATGTCCCTTGGGGTTCTTTTATTCTTTATGTTTTGTATTATACAAATATACAATAAACAGTTATAATTCATAATTAACAAGTGCATTTAAACCATGAAAAGATTTTTAAAATGTTGAATTGAGTGTCATTTGGATTTTCTTTCAGGTACCTTGGTTTATCCTAGTGGTACAGGGGTTATCATTAGGATTCTTCTTGGATATCAACTTTTGGTTTGTGTATTGACTACTGCAATACACAATTAACCATTAACTTTTTGTACATCATAAAAAGATACAATAATTTAACTGTTCCTCTGAGCTATAAATGCATAATTTAGCTTAGATAAGTATATTTACTTTTAAATATTTAACTTGGATAACTGCTCTATATTTAAGACACTTAAAGTGTTAAATTGCCTTTCAAAAACATTTTTTTCTAATTTACAAGTGCATATAAACCATATTTAGAATAATTAAGGTTGTATATGGTGTCCCTGGGGTACCTTGTGGTATCCCTGGGGTTCCTTGTGGTATCCTTGTGGTTCCTTGTGGTACCTTGTGGTTCCTTGTGGTAAAAAGACGCACCCGAATTGAAAACATATGAAGTTAATGATGAAGCAAAAATGGTGTCAACCCACAAAGGACAGTCATACCTAAAAGTTTGTCCAGATTCCAAATCTCTACAGTGCTCAACTTCAAAACATCTAGACTAGTCTGACTAGTTTCTGAATATTTTACTAGACCCAACCCCAACTTTACTAGACATGACCTTATATCCTTGGTTCATTGAAAAACACAACTAAAATATTAACATGAAAAAAAAACAAGAGGCCCATGGGCCACATCGCTCACCTGAGTAACTTTGGCCATGCTGTTCATTACCAGACTCCCCCCTTGTAATACCTATTGTGGCCCCACCCTACCCCCAGGGGTCATGATTTGAACAATTTAGAATCTACACTACCCCAGGATGCTTCCACATAAGTTTCAGTTTTTCTGGTCCAGTGGTTCTTGAGAAGATTTTTCCTATATATTTCAATGTAAAACTTGGGATTCCCCCTATTGTGGCCCCGCCCTATCCCCTGGGTCATGATTTGAACAATTTAGAGTGTACACTACTTGAGGATGCTTCCACATAAGTTTCAGCTTTTCTGGTCCAGTGGTTCTTGAGAAGAAGATTTTTAAAGATTTTTCCTATATATTTCAATGTAAAACTTGTATTTCCTATTGTGGCCCCGCCCTACCCCCGGGGGTCATGATTTGAACAATTTAGAATCTACACTACCCCAGGATGCTTCCACATAAGTTTCAGTTTTTCTGGTCCAGTGGTTCTTGAGAAGATTTTTAAAGATTTTTCCTATATATTTCAATGTAAAACTTGTATTTCCTATTGTGCCCCCGCCCTACCCCCGGGGGTCATGATTTGAACAATTTAGAATCTACACTATCCCAGGATGCTTCCACATAAGTTTCAGCTTTTCTGGCCCAGTGGTTCTTGAGAAGAAGATTTTAAAAGATTTTTCCTATATATATTTCAATGTAAAACTTGTATTCCCTATTGTGGCCCCGCCCTACCCCCGGGGGTCATGATTTAAACAATTTAGAATCTACACTACCCCAGGATGCTTCCACATAAGTTTCAGTTTTTCTGGCCCAGTGGTTCTTGAGAAGAAGATTTTTAAAGATTTTTCCTATATATTTCTATGTAAAACATTGATTCCACATTGTGGCCCCGCCCTACCCCCGGGGGTCATGATTTGAACAATTTAGAATCTACACTACCCCAGGATGCTTCCACATAAGTTTCAGCTTTTCTGGCCCA